TTTTTTTTTTTTTTTTTTTTTTTGGTACCAGGGATCAAACTCAGGTCCCTGTACTTGCAAAGCAGGCAGCGGAGCCACTGAGCTAAATCCCCGGCCCTGACCTTTGGCTTTTACGCTGAGCCACTGAGCGATTTTCAGCAGAGGAGTGGCATAGCCTGATGTGTTTTCACAGGGGTCCCTGAGGCATGGTGAGAACAGACTCTACTTAGCAGGTGGGGGAGCAGGGAATGCACAGATGACCAGCAGTAATCTCTGCCGGGGGACAGAAGATGGCATCTTAGCTCAAGGCGGCAGGAAAGCAGGTGCTGAGAAGGGGTCCGACTCTGGATATTTTTAAAACAGAGTTCACAGATTTTCTCATGGACTGGATGTGAGGTGTGAGTTACAAAGAGGAGCCGCGGATGGTGCCAATGCTTTGGATTGGGTACCAGGGTTGCCACTAACTGGAGAGGACAAGGCACGGAGGAGGAGCAGCAGGCGTTCAGTTGTGGATGTGCAGAGCTTGCCGTGTCTGTGAGGAACCGCAGAGAGTTCTGCGCAAGCCGCTGGGCACACGGGCACCAGGCTCAGGAGGATGCAGATAGCTTTGGCGGCATCATGGGCACATGTGTGGTATTTAAATGGTCTTGTGACTGGATGAGGTCCCTGGGGGAAAGAGGGTCGAGGAACCTCTGTGGGGGTGACCCTCTGACACCAAGAGGACAGAAAGGAAAGAGATTCAAATGTGACCAGTGAAGCGAGAAGAGTCCAAGCAGACAAAGGATTCCCAGGAAGAAGGAGTGCCCAGCTGGGTCCAGTGTCACTGCAGGTGATGTGAGGTGACAGCTGAGGAAGGACTGCTAGATGTAGGCACTGAGGACACTGGTAAGGGTCACAGTAGCAGCATTAGACACACCTAACCTTATGGAGTCTCACAGTTCAACTACCAGCTGCCTTTACTCCCTCACCGTGACTCTTGTCTTCTCAGTCAGCTTGTACATTGTCAACAGCAGGGGTGACAAGTCAGCATGGCATCTTCAGAGCCCCAGGTCCCTGCCGATCCAGTGGGCCTCAATGAGTCCTCTGAGGCCCTGCTGCGGTTTGCCAGCTCTCCCCAACCCTAACCCTAACCCCGAGCCCCTAACTGGGGCTCTGGTCTATAGCAACTAACCTCGCACCTGGCTTACCTTGGACGCAGAATTTCAGTTCCTTCGGGTCAGTGATGCTCTTCCTGCTTTCCCGGATCACAGCCCTGTTCTTCTTGGTTTCTCCCCAGAGATTGGTGCCTCCATACATGCTGGGGATGTTGAGAATGGCAATGCCTTCGAGGAAGATGTTGGTCAGGTCTACCTCAACTCCATCGCACTGGGGAACACAGAGCAAAGGCCACCTGTTAGTGTAACCCAAGGTGCTGAGAGAGAGAGATTGAGGCTCTTTTCAAGGATGTGACAGGTCCTCAGCCGCCCCTCTGTTACTGTCAGAAACCTCTTGGGCAAAGTTGCCCGAGCTCAGTGCTCCAGTCATTGGAGTGAGACGGGGAATCTAGTCCTGGTGAGCTCTGGGGAAGATGACACAAGACTTCCACAGGCCTAGAAATGTTCCAGGGATGGATGCCAAATCAACCGCCAAGCTTTTCTCCACTTCAGGGTCAATTATCATCAGTTCTGTCCCTGCCTAACCAATGTGAAGATTTACAGGGACACTGAATCCAGAACCCAACACATAGTAGACTCTGAACAAGTGACAGAAAAATGTCATTTAATTCCCTCTTCTTTCACTCCTGTGAGAAGGCCAAGATTTAAGACTTGGAAAGCTTTCAGAATTTGCCTGTCTCCTGTGTCTGTACTGTAAGTGCAAATCTGGCATATGTGCTTGCTGAGGTAGCAGAGTTTCTTTCTCAACCTCGGCAACCTCCACCCCCACCAGGTACAGAGGGCCAGAGGGCTTCAGTCTACGATTCTTCAGTCTATGATTCACCCAGCTCTAAAGTGGCCCACTTTGGCATGAAGCTCACTAACGTGGCAAGAAGCGTATTAGCTCTGATCTTCCCTCCTCAGGGCCATAAGTCATGTACTTCATTTGCAGAAGAACAAACTGGACCCAGAACCATGAGCTGTGTTATCCAAGATTACTCAGATGATAAATAACCGAGCAGGGTTTCAGACTTGGGGAGTCTGACTACAATGTCCATGCTCTTTATCTTGCTTATTGCGAGAAAGGAAAAAATAAAAAACATACAGTAGAAACCTACTGTCTGTGAGGGCTCCCTCTTGCTATGGTCTGACCTTTCTGCCAAAACTCAGGATGAGAGCTGGTTGCCATTACAATAGTATGAAGAGGTGGGCTGTTGGGAGGTTATCAGGGTGAAATGTGGTCATGTGTTTGGGAGGACATGAGTGCCTTAGCAGCTTTGTAAGAAGAGGCAGACAGTGGTGGTACACGTCTGTAATCCCAGCTAAGAGCCCGAGGCGGGAGGACCGCACATTTGAGCAACTTACCTGGATCTTGCAGTCTCAAAATAAAAAAATCAAGGGCCAGGGTTGTAGCTCAGTGGTTCCTCTGCCTGCCTCACCAAGCGCAAGGTTCCAATTTCGATCCCCAGTACAAAAAAAAAAAAAAAAAAAAAA